CACCAGTTTACATTCTTGGAGTCTCGATCATCTCCGGGCCTCGCTCCACCTGTCAGACGCTACCATTTTGAATTTGACTTCTCGAAGATCAGAACTCGTCCCTCAAAAAGCTGTTAGATACGAGGTGAGAGTCGTATAGATGGGCACGTGATTTAAGTATTGTCACGGTCGCGAGTAACTAACTGAAGTCTATCTCCCATTACAGTGCTTTCAATAAGACCCGGCACCCCCCGGAGCTCCGGCGGGTATTCTGTTGTGAGTCGCCGGGTATATTTCACCGCGCTCAAATCACAGTCACCTCGCTAAGTCGCAATCAAGTCTCTCTCCGGCGGGTGTTATACCGAGGTAGCCACCTATTTCAAATATTATTGAAAGCTTTGCCGATTAATCTTGAATTTTGCTTTACAGTAACAGTTGGATCGATTTTTCGGTTGGGGCATATTTCATACAAGTGTTAAATTATCACTGATACTGTATCATCCTAAGCATAATCATTGTCATGCATTATCATTGCCATTACCATTGTTAATGAAATTATCATCACCACTTTCATTATCTTTGTTATTATTACCGAAGCCTGTTCCTAGAATGTCGGGAGTTTATACGAGTTTGCATCCTTGGTGTTTAAGGGGGGCAAAAAAATAAAACGTTTTTAAAGGAGTTGATATTGCTAAACTTACTTTTTTTTTAATAAAAGGCAATATTCTGCGAACTCAGTTAACGGAGTAAGATCGCACATCTCCGTTGTTTGCGTCTATAAACTAAGGTTTAATGAGATTCTTCTTCTTCTGGCGAGTGAGTGAGAAATCAGTTTTCGGAGCATGTTTTCATATAGCAAGACCTAAAGACAGGGTTTTAGGGAACATTTCAACCGGAAAGCGCTCAACTGAAGTAAATATTTTGGCAAATAGATTTAGAGAGATGATGTAACTTGAACTCAGTCGTAGAACAGAGGAGAATGATACTCGTTTGACACGAGTATGGTACAAAGAAAAAGTCCAAGTTCCTAAGAAGAATTCACGCCGCAGACGCTCGGATTTTTTTGGTTACACAAAATAGCAAAAATAACTACTAACCATCACCAAATGTATCTTACCACTTATCCAAATCACGTAGGTGACAGTGCAGGATTCAGGGCTTAAACTCCCACAATTCCGCCCAGGAGAGAAACTCACTCCAACATCTTTACATATTCAGGTAGAAAAATACCATCTAGTTAGGAGCTGAAAGCACGCATGTGAAAAACGCGTTGGCCAAGTGATCGCGCTAGACTCTGGATCGAAAGACATGGGTTGTGCTTAGGTTCTTTGGTTTGAAAGCTTATTTTCACAGTGCTTCTCCCCATATAAATGTTCAGGGATAAATTTTTACTGGCAGTGGAAAGTACTGTTACTCTAGGTGGAGTCACTGTAGAAACTGGTGTAGCTTTTTGGCGGTACTCACGCTCATCGGTGTGACTCGGCCGTGTAAAAAGACCACTCACTTACCCTTTATCTTGGTCATCCGGTGACAGAATATTTCACTGAAAAGCTTGTTTTGTAAGGACCTTCCGAAGTGCACTCCGTACGTGAAAATAAATGCGAGCTAAGTAGACCACAAAATGCAGTTGATTTCTCTATTTTCCGAATTCCCTTACCTTTCTAAGTTTGTATACGTTTTTTTTTTTATTTTTAGATTTGGAATTCTTGTCTGTCTTGTAGCACCGGTTATGGTCGTAGGGGTTCTATTCAGGTAGTGGGTATAAAATATATGTATACATGTAGTGCTGTACCTGACAAGAAATAGTGAGAATTACGTGGAATAGTCAGGCGAGATCACCGCAGAAGGAATGCCTCGAGATGCCCGTCACCACAATGGCCTTCATGTTTAGGCCTTGCTCCAGAAAATCGCCACACAAAAAAAAGAAATCATAATACGAGGCGTTGATGCAGGCTCCTCCTCCATGAGCCGTGTCCAAATTAGCGTCTTTGCCTGTTGAATTAAGATGGGCATGATCGAATATATTCAGCTGTTGAATAACTTTCGTTTAGCATCTTACTTCCCTCTCAAAACATGCTGACGTTGTTCTTTTGTCTAGGGCTCCTACGTCATGATTGTGCTCCTCGGGTGCCCGGCAGGTCGGAAGATTTACTTTGATCCCGAGTCCTCAAAAAACTCTTCGAGTAAAAAGCACTATTGTTCTGCCGTTCACGGAGTCCCGTGCTTCTACTTTTACCGAGGTAACGTTACAAATTTGGGCACTCAGTTTTAGCTAAACCTCCATCTTTCTTAGGCTTGTTAGATGTTCTGAGTTCTAAGCAAGCCTAAAACAGGATTTATATCATATTAAATATTTCACGCAGATGATTTAATAGAAAGATGAAATGACCATTGCAGTAAATTTTGAAAATTGGAATTGCCTCTATAGGCCTAAAGGAGAAATTAACTCTTAGGTAGCGCGATTTACATTTTCCTAATTCATTGCAAAGGTCATTCATTCGCTGGTTTAATTACATCGCTACTTTCCCGAAACATGCGGTTAATTTTTATATAAGATTCATTACTATGTCCTAGAGAACTTCCTGGAGAACTTCCTGGAGAACTTCCTATAGATTACGAGGGTCTCAATGAGATTACTGAGCTGTTAGTAGTAAAGCAGCCCAAAAAAAAAATGCCTAAAAAATGAAGCCGTAAAAGCCATCGCCCCAGTGAGACCCTCTTACAAGGATTTCTGGTGTTTCCGTGTATTTCTCATTTAATAAGACAAGAAAAGGCTAATGAATGCTATCTCAATTGGCAGATTTTTTACCAGTGTTTAAAGTCTTAGACTTAGCCACAGGTCAGGTGAATCAGTTCGATGGAAAATATTATCTAAAAATAGTGGGAGGAGGACCGACTTACCAGTCAGTAACAGACTACTCACAAGAGGAACAGATTATGTATAACTACCAAACAACAAGGTATCTGCAGTCATTTTATCCTCATCCAAAGATTATGTATAACTACCAAACAACAAGGTATCTGCAGTCATTTATCCTCATCCAAAGATTATGTATAACTACCAAACAACAAGGTATCTGCAATCATTTTATCCTCATCCAAAGATTAAACCTTTGTCAAGAGGCGTATTATTGAGTTGTAAATGTCATAGAATGTAAAGAGCCGTATGAGACTAACTGTCGTGGGTACAAAACCAACATTTTAAAAGCAAATTCACATCAAAGAATGATATTGCAAGGAGTCTATGAGAGCTAAAAGTCAACATGTCACCAGCTTCAAGCGGTTCTTATTTTTTCAAGAGGACAGCTCGAGTTTACGTAACTAATCACATTATATTGTTAAGCAAAACCAATAGAATTCTGGATTACTTTGACTCACCAATGGAAATTGTTTTATACATTAGGACCAGTAAGTACTTTGCTTACCTATATTTGTGTATTGTAGAATTTAGTGGCTGTAACATTAAGACCTCTTGATCGTGTATCTTTTGTAGCTCCATGGCATCTTTGATCTGGGCATCTAAATTAAAGACGCTGGGAGATATTCCAGTTTTTGATAGCAGGACAAATGGGATAAGGTCAGTGAGCTTTGTTATGATAAACTGTGAATGATCTCAGTGTGGTCGCGTGTCACCAAAGCAAAAACAGTCAGAGTGATGAGGACCTTGAAATCGAAATAAAAAATGACATTAACATCGACGCTGACATTGACATCGATGTTCACATTGAAATTCACCTTGGCATTGACGTTGAAATCGAATTTTACCACAATTGGCAGTATTGTCGCAATCTAATTGGCCAATTTGCCGTTGTCGATAAGAGTACAGACAACGCTGCTCGCGTCAACGTGTCACATAACGTGTCACGCACTGGAAGAATCGTTGTATTTGACGGCAATATTGTGGTAAAAACAAATCGACAGGGATTTGGCGTGCACTGTACTCTTATCGACAACGATATTCGTCATCACAGTGGTAAAAATGTGTTGTTAAGTCCACAACATTTTGACCACGTACAATGATGACGAATATCGTAGTCGATAAGAGCGCAGACAACGCAATTTGTTAAGTCGACATCGACATTAAGGTTGACTTTGACTTTGACGTTGGCATTGACATTGATAAGACACATTGACAGTTGCTTTGACACATGATATTGAATTAATCGTTTGCATCAAAATAACATTGACATTAACATTGATATAGACATGAAAAGTGACTTTGGAATCACATCGGCCTTGATACTGATATTGACACAGACGCAGACATTGACTCTGATATCGACAGTAACATTGACTTTGGCAAATGATATCAACCTTAGTCCTAACCTTAGAAATGAGTTTGATCTTTACCTTTAAAGTGATACGGAGACGACTCACACGATCGGTAGTCTGACTCTCTGGGTATTAACTATGACTTTAACTTTAACATTGATTGTAGCATTGTTGTTGAATAGGTTTTGCCCCTGTCCTTGCATGGCAAGGATAACTCGCTGTTTCAATAATTGTCTCTCCCTTCAAGAAATTTTAAATGGTTGAATGAGGTGCTTAATGAAAGCTTTTGTGGCTAGACGATGAAAGAATTATGAATTATGAATCTGTCATCTTACGATCTTTATAGCTGGTTGTGTGGTACACAGAGTCCTTGTGCGGATTTTGGCCCAAACTTCCCTGGAAATGCCGAGTATTATTTCAAGCTGGAATTCTCAAACAGGTAAACTGCGTCAAAGCCTGGTGTAGGAGTATAGAAACAACATTCGTTTGAGATCTCTCACACTAATCGCATTAACTCTAAAACAGTTAATTCTCTTCGATAAAATGTACGCTTTCGAATTTATTATCGTTGGTATTGATAGTATACAAGGGGCTGGTCACAAATGAACCTATCTTTCTAGGTTTAACAACTTCTTTGTATCGAACCAATCAATCGAAGCTGGCTGTGTTGCAGTCCTCTTTATAGATCTTGTAGACATATGTTTAGCGTTATCCTCGTATATTTTCACAGCTGAAATGGTGTCGTAGCTAATGTTGTCGACTTTTTTGAAACCCTTTACTTGTTGTGTGAATGAAGTGAGTTTTTCCGTTTTTCTCTGTTAGTGTCAATAAAAACCNTTTTTTTTTTTTTTTTTTGGTTTTTTTTTTCATAAAGGGCGCATCTCTAATGTTTTGTTTCCACTTTTAAGGATCGTAGATGCCGACTCGTCAAACTGTGACTATACCATTCGATTCCTGATCCGAGTTCACGGCTTACCACCGGGCTCATTCAACCCATCATCCGTAATTGTCCTGGTAAGAAACTTATAGGAGGCGTCTCCTGGCCGCAAAGCCCTTCCTTCTTTCTAGTAAGCCCTACTCTCTTTCTTTTCCCCTCACTGTTAAAAAAAACTGTGAGTAGCAGTCGTTAGTATTCAAAGAGTTGCATAGCAAAGTTTGCAGTTCAGTATTTTAAATCCTGCTGTAGCCATTTTCAATATCGCTGAATCAGGTCTTAAACCAAAGAAATGCAAACAATATACAGCGGTATGATATACATTGAAATTGGGCGATAATTCGTAAAATAGAATTAGGAGGTAATCAATCGCATTTTAACTCGCAGTGAGTTTTGATAAAGGCACCACTCTCCAAAAGAATGTTTCCTTTTGGTGTCCGGTTTACTGGGTAGAGAGACAGCAAGTTATATCTGAACCTTTTTTTCATTCGCAGTCCTGTCTTGCCATCTTGACTGCTCTCATTTTAACCTTCTATCTGCTGAAAAGAGAAGACTCTAAGGTCTGGAGGTATCTAAAGAGTGGGTTGTCTTTGGTACGCTACGTACCCTGCCTCTGTAGGGACGGGATCCGTAGCAAAGTGATTAGCATGCGCAGAAACAAGATAGACCCTTTGGAAGATCAAGGTCACGTTCAGCTTCAAGATGTTAATCAAGGTAACGTGCTTGTCGGAGATGAGGGCCATGCCAAAATTTTAGTTTCGTTTAAGTTCACACAGCAACTAGGTGGACAATCAGACATGTTTTGATGCTACTCTGGTTTAAAGATTAAATGATTGTAACCCGGAAATTACAATTCATCGAGCCAACGTTTCAACACTCTCCTGTGTAGTGCCTTCATCAGGGGTGATCTGACCGTTACAACAAGAGGCCCTTTTATATGCTCGCTAATTAGCTGCCCTTTTTACTGACGAGGTGTAAATAGGCGTCATTTTTTTTCTGTTTGTTTAATTGGTTGCTTTCTCTGGTCTCTCTTTGAGGTTGTTTGTTTGCTAAGCTCTGTAGTTTAGTTTGCAAAAACTGTGATCCCTAGTAAGCAAGATGTAGTTGCAATCACTTGGCCACTCATTCTGCAGTTACAGCTCGCGTAAACTTTATTCCAGTATGTTATAATACATTTTGCGAGCTAAAACATTTTATGTATTTTCTGTAATGAACGCAGGTTCTGAATACACTCCTGAAGCTTCTATTGATGTGAGAGGAAACAGTCCACAACAACTCCAAACTACGAATGTTTAAGTATTGATTAAGCATCTCTTTAAGGCGAATAAGTATTACAAACTACTACAGAGATGCTCCTTTACCAGAAATCAAGCACTTTCCCAATCCTACTGTAACTGTTGGAGCTAAGACCTGGCTGTCAATAACTTGTTTTTTGTTTTTGTTTGTATTTTTTTTTTCTGTTTGTTTTTTGTTTGTTTGTTTGTTTTCACGCGTAGTCTGGATCAAAAGACATTGCTCGTTCAAACGCAATTTACTATCTCTTAAACTCGACCCAAACTTATGAATAAGGGATTCGTGAAGTGTTCACCTGAAATGCAGCGAAAACGCTGGGCTAACCGATAGGCTCACTCAACTGTACCCGTTGTGTACCTTGTGTTCTTGATCCTGATATTGATCCATGACCACTTCACGAATAAAAAATTTTCGACTTTGCAATTAGATCGAATTTAATGATCATTTATTGGTCATCAGTTATGCCAAAGGTTCCTGATAATTTTCGTTCTCACCGCCTCTGCTCTATCTAAATTCTTCGTATAATTTCAACAAACGAATCCTGTAGGATTTCTAACAGTATTCCCAGCGTTATCCCGAGCAGAATGGCTACGGTTTTATACCATCAATGCCTAAAACTCATTGTTGTTCATCATGCGGCAGTTGTCTGTAAACTCGATTAGAGAGACGAATTGCATTAGGCAGACACTGGCAAAGATTTTGGAGGGTGTCCATTTCAGACAGTTCTTTTTAAAGCGGACAATACTTTGAGACATACACTTACGAGACAGTTGTTTGGAAGGAATCCGCTTTCAAACTGAGCCCACATTTACCTTCCTTTATTTTTTCAACATGGCGTCTAAGGGTAAAGCTGTCGTACACAAACTTCACGCTGTAACTCAGGTTAGAAGCTGTATTGGCCGACCATGGTGGGAAAAAAGAACCATAAAGGCGCTGGGATTGGGAAAGTTAAATCAAACTGTGATTCAAAAGAATACAACCACGATCAATGGAACATTACGATCAGTGAAACATCTACTCGATATCAAACCGATAACGATCGTTAACGAAGAATCTTCCAGGGAACAGAGAAATGGCGACGAGGGGTTATTCCTCAGACAAAATGGACAGTTTCATCTCAGCAAGTTTCAAAAATTCCTCGAGGATAATCCAAACATGGAGGAGTTTATCAAGAAGAGAAAGAAACAGCAAATTTGGCAAAGGCGAAGGCCATAAGTTTAAAAAAGTGTCCATGTGTTTTGCTAGTGGAACTGACTCCAGCTGTACTTTTCATAGCTGCATCGTTACAAATACCGCTGTGATATCTTCTCTTACTTATTCGAGATTGTTACGGTGTTTGAAAGTGGATGATGTCGATGGCGACAGACGCTAATTATTGAGAATCGTATTGTCATGTGCGTCCATTTTTTAGTTCAATTTTTTTTTCGTGGATTACCACTTTTCCACATGGTTTGAACTTTATTTTCCTCTGTCTCAGATTATGACGACGAAGACGAAGGAAAATGATGTAAGAGGGATCTAACGAATGTTCAGAATTAAATTGAATGGCAGAATTTTGACATATTACATTTGCACTTGTAGTGCATCAGCTTTTGAGATCTTCACGTTATCAACCTGTGTTGTAGCCCTTACTTTTGCAGTACATGTCGACCTGGCAGATAATCATATTTTGTATAAAAGTGTACCAATGATCATCAATAGATACTGTTCCAAATTGTTATGAATTTTTATTTATGGAAGTTTTGATAGTGTCTTCAAAAGAACTGTCACTGAGACCTGTTGTTGTAGACCGATGAGATAGTTTCTAAAACAGTTGTCATTATGCTGGTAAACATTGGGAATGCACTGAAATTTCAGTTCATAAGGCATGTCAGGTTTCCCTTTAGTAAGTTTGACGGCACTGCTCTTTGATAAACCCCCATTTTAAGAAGTTCCCCTTTTATTCCAGAGATTTCAAAATACCTGTTTTCAATTTTTGATAGTATTTCATAATATTTTCAAAAGATTGTCATTGTAAACTGTGCAGGGGTCAGCTGGAAAAGGAAAGGTGGGTGTGGTGGCATGACAATACTCTGGCCCATTCCACAATTTTGTGATATTTGATAAACATCTTTGGGTAGCTTTGAGCCAATTTCTGGGATTGACTGTTCTTTGTAATTGTAACCTTGCAAGTTTTTTTTTTTTTTTTTTTTTTTAAACAAAAGGAATTCATAAATTAATACTAGTACTTCCATGGCATCTTGTTCCAAAGTCCTTTGTGAATAAGAATGATGTTATGTTTATAAAGTGAGTTTTGTTTTGAGTTTGGTAACCAGAATGGACAGCTTAAGACCTGGTGGCCCACTTGATAGGGCATAAAACAACTAAGTGTACTGCCTCTCCAATCCCCCCCCTCCCCCAAATGGAACACCAGTCTATCACAGATAACCATGCAGTGGTTGTATTAGTGTTTGCCAAACCCTTTCCACCCCAAATGTGAAATGAAGGCTTATTTTAACCACACTGCAGCAATTTTCCAGAACTAGTGAGAAAAGCCTTCACCTGAATAATTTCACAACAACCACCACTTACAATACTAAACGCAGGCTGCAAATGTCACAAGGCTCCACAATTTTTCGTGCACCTACTTTCATGATGGACCAATTGACTTCCAGAGTCAATTCATAGAGTGCCTTAGACAAGTCAACTTAGTTTGGGTGTATTGGACAACCCTATAATTGACTGTACAATAATGTAGCTAAATTCTTTAATCAGTTCTTCCATGCAAGATTTACTTATTTAAGAAATTTTTGTAGTTTCACATCTTCTAAGTGCTTATGATGAACTTTTTAATTTCAGGATGAATAAATGAAAACCATGACATAAATAACTTCTTTTCCCAATTGAATTTTGTTACAATATTTTTGCTAAGCAAAATTTGCACATTGTTGGTAATAATCCCATGTGATACATGTGACGTTATGGTCCAATCAAAATTGCAAGTTTTCTTTCATAATCATTCTGTTAGATTACAAGAAAAGCTCTCCATCAGTTACAATTTTACTATTGGAGAGGAAATATAAAAATATAAATTCAACTGGGCATTGTGTATAGAAACAGTAGTTTGAAATTATTTTCAATTGTTGAAATAAAGGAATACAGTGTACATACTGTACAAAGGAACTATAAGCTTGTTCACTGCATGATGTTTCTGAAATATGCTTAAGAAATATTGATCTTCTCTGGCAATATTGAAAACTTGTATTTTACCTTGAGTATAAATTTTGCAATAAAAAATTATACATGTGTACAGGTTTTAAATTTCACTTGGATATATTTTGTTCAACTTCACTCTTTCTGCAAATCAGAGTAAGCCTTTAAAACTTTGGGGGAAACTTCAAATTCTTTTTCAAAACCCTCTTTCAGATTACCCAACTTGTCCAAGTCTACACTTATTCACAACATACTAACATGTAATCATATTTCTACTCTTGCTAATTGCAGGTCACAGTGCATGAGACTGTACAGAATGTTATCAAAATCTAAGTTACATTTTATGATGGGTGAAATTTACAACTATCATTAATAGCACAAACAAAAATGTTTCCAAATAAAATCAGCTTCAGACAAAATACAAAATATTTCCTACCCTACAGTTATTTCATTGACCATAAAACAAATCAATCGATAGTTAGAATTGAAAACTGAATAATTATGTACTAAGTTAACTTCACTTTTATAAATTAATTTTAAAATTTATATCCTATCTAATAGAACCTTTGCTAAAGGTTCACCTCAAATGCCCAGCTTTGGCTAAATGAGTCACTACAAGAGTTTAAAACAAGTCCTTTCTCCTTTTGATCTTTGCTGTCCAGGCACTTTCCTGAGCCAACATGTCTTATCCTGTTAGAGCCCTTGTCATACTCCCAGTGCTACAGAGAAGAAAATTAAAAAAGGAGATGACAAAAATAGAAACAAAATGTACAAAGTGGTCTATCCACTCTCACAAGAGAAGAATTAGGCTTACCATGACAGACACACATTTAATTAGTGTCCTATTGGGGTCAATCATTAAATATTTATTGCGACTGGTTTAGTTGACATAGATGAAGTTTCCCAAAAGACAACTTTTAAGAAGCGACCATTAATATTTTTGGTTGAAGAGCCAATATTCATAGCCAGACAGCATGCGTTGTGCTCCCACCACACCCAGACAGACAATGGACAACTACCTGTTAAAGATGACTGGGGCTGTTAGATTTACCACAAAACAAGTTAATTGCGATTATGTCACCTAGAAAATGGCATTTCTTCATTTCATGCCTCTAATCACAGTCAACAGGGAGCATATGATTTCACCAAAATTCTAAATGTCAACTTGAAATGCCTCAAGTCTACTTTTCTGTTGAAAACGAATTTCTGGTAAAATCAGTTAAAACTAATTTAAGTCGTCCTTTGTTCTTGCTGCATTATCATATCCCTTACAGAAAGGAGATGGCTAGACTGAAAAACATTTAATTTCTCCTTACAAAAGTACCCCTAAATCCAAACATTAAAGTCACGAGAATAAAGGAAATGATCACCAACTATAGAAGCGTTTATTTGTTAAAAAAATTTCTCCTTTTCAACACCTTATAAAATGTACAGAAAACAGTATGAAGAATTATGTACAATAATGTAAAGGTGTAAATAGTAAATGGCAAGACATGTATGTGTATTGTACATTTCCTGTTAGACAGCATTCTTCTGGTACACAATGATTCTATGAACATAGTAAACTGTTTTCAACCATACCTGGTTGGCATTCTTTTCATCACATTCAAGTAATAGAGCTGGGGTTCCATCTTCCTCATTAGCAGTTTCCAGACAAAGTGTGTCATGTTTCAACATCTTGTTCTTGACAAAATTCCACAACTGCCAAATTAAAATTTCAATCAACATCATAAATTCTCTCTTGCCTGACTTGAATGTGCTCATCTAAGAATTCTACTGGTTGAAATCTATTATTGATGGAATCAAAGAGCCCTGCAGGCTTGTTGGGAAGCTCACATTTGCATCTGGGTTAGATTCACCAATCTCTGTGTGTACATGTGTGTATTGCAACATGAATGATACAGGCTGTGTTGTATAACTACATGTACTAACCTGGTTTCCCCCAGCACCATGACATTCAAACAGACCCACAGTACCCCCACCAGTATGCCCCAGTGTGTCCATGCAGTCTTTTCCTTGCTTGACCTCCCCAAATGCTGTGGTGTCATCACCCTCAGGAACTCTATTGGCATAAGATTATTGTTATAACAAAGATAAGAATGATATTGACTCTTAACAGCACTATCTCGGAACTCTGGACCAACCACAGAGAACAGTGAGGGAAGACTAATGCAATCCAGGATTACTCTCAACCTTTAATTGGAAATGGCTCATAATGGAATGCTACCCACCTGAGTTCAGGATACACATTCTGGACATACCACTTAAAAGGCTTACATTTCAATTTCTTCCGCAGTTCAAGTCGGCTTTGAATGCTGTTAAAAGAGATGGAGGAACATACTGTTACAGTTGTAACTGAGATAAAAGAAAGAATATCCATTGTGATCAAAGATACACAGTGAAGAGCATAACAACATTCCAAGTAAAGATTAAAAGGATAATTGATCAAAAACATCTGTCTACTCCCTAAGTAGATTAAAGCCTTTGTAACTAGATAAGTAAAAGGAAAAACTGGGTCACATACTATCAATCAAAATTAATTATCCTCATTTGTATACCAAATTGTGCCCAATCATTAACTAAGTGATAACTAATCATCAGCTATGGAGTAATTAAGGACCTATATATCTTTTCCAGTCAGCCCTTTAAAGGGAAAAAGATCAAGTAAAACCTGCATTACTCTAGAAAATTCTTGAATAGAAAACTCACTCTCCAAAAGGTGTGTTCTTAGCATAGGGAACTGCTGCATAGTAAAACTTTTTGTAATCATCCATCCAAACCTCTACAGCTCTTCTTGTATTTCTTAAAAGCAATAGACATAATTACAATTAATAAAATTGTTTATATTTACTATTTACAAGTTAAAACAATTTGGGCGCAGTTGTTCAAAGGGTGGATATCGCTTTCCAACAGATAAATCACAGCCCAGTGGATAAGTGTTAACAACATACTCTTTCCTGTTGTATCCACCAGGTAAAAATTTGTTTCATAGATGGTGTTATCCACACTTCAAACAACCAGGGTTAGATGACCTCCATTACATCTATACAACAAAATGCTAATTTCCACAAACACAATACACTACATTGTAATCAAAAAGAGAAATACAAGCACAAAATTGATTGTAATCAGAAACACTGTATGGCAAACTGTAACTAAAAGCTTGTCTTGAGTCCTAGGTTCTAGAAATTTGATAACAAATCTTGATATAAAATGAGAAAAGGAAAAAATTCAAAGGCATAAATGAGAAGTGCTGGCAAACACTGAAAGATCCTGACTTACTTTTGGAAGACATTCATGCTTCCCCCTGGAAATTTATAAGGATGTCTATTTCTAAACACGTGACCAACTCTAGAACAAGGAATTATTTCCATGCTTCCTCCGCACTGCCATGCTCTGAAGGAGATTTCTGGGTAAGGAGAGAAAAATCAGAACACATTTCATTTAGTGGATAGAAATGTACACACGTGTCGTGATGAAATGAGGGAAATGCAGTCAATATCTCAACCCTTTACCTCCCATAAGTTAAACCAAAAAAAAAAAAGATCCTTTCTATGTGATATCAAGACAATATCTAGCAGACAAGTGATAAGAATAAAGAAACGTATTCAATTTGGGTTTTATTAGTGTTGATTGAACACCAAATTATCTGAACAACATTGTACGATAAGTTAAGAGTAACATGCTATGAATTGTATGGCAGACAGCAAAGGTGAATTACTACACTAGGTGAAAAATTAGGAGTGAAAGCTTTTATCTCTAATATGATGTCCTGTCAAGAAAACAGTCACACAGCTAGCTGGGTAAATAACATCTCAAAGTGTAACTTACACCCCATTCTCACCAGCAAAACATTGTCTAGTTAAACTACCTTTAACTGATATAAAAAATTAGAAACAACCAAAAAACTAAATTTTTCATAGGATGCAACTACAGTGTAATTGTCAACTTGTATTTTCAAGGTGCTACTCTTGAATTCCACAAACGTGGGTTTGGCAGCATTTACATGAAGGAAAAAAATTTAATCCTTGTCTAACAAAACAGCTCTAAAACATATAGCTGTGGTGTGAATCGGGTATTTGGCTTGAGCAGGACACATTTCTATCCACTCTATGTCCTTAGGCAAATTCTGATGTACTGTAAGCATACCGTTTAACTCTAAATATAAACTTAGAGACTAACTTAAGTACAATGTACATGGTATAGTATACAAACCTAAATTCTCTCCTCCCCAGATGTCCATGTCCATATCATATTTACCAATCCTTTCAAACCATTTCTTATCAATTGAAAAGAGTCCGCCAGCTATGACAGGAGTCCTGCAAGTAAAGTAGAACAAATCAAATAATGAGACAATACAAGTTTATTGAACATCCCAGACTGAGTTGCTGTAATTCTTAACTTGCACAGTGTAGATCATCTGTGACTGAGCAGGCTTAGTGAAAAACCTCAATCAACCCTATGGCCTTTATCATCTAATTTCTCTATACAATTTCACCCTTGAATCAAACATTAGGGTCATAAGATAATGTTCACCAGCTGAAGAAGCTCCTGATTGCTAAACAAATTCTCCTTGTCAACACCTTAGAAAATGCACTATACCTTTGTATAGAGAACAGTAAACTATGGAGAATATGCAAACTGATGTTAGGGAAAAACAGAAAATTCAGTTTTAAATAATTCCATTTGTTTACAATTTGATGATTGAATGCTCTAAAACTAATTGAGAAAAATTATCTCAAAACGGCTTTCAAACAGACAAATATAGAAACCCACACTAAAATTTAACTCTGAGTTAGCCCTAATCGCCCTTCAAACAACCGGGCCAAGAATAGGAGAGTTATATGAAAAATCAGTTCATCCTGTACATCTGGCAGACATACCTAATTGGAGCCATAGGTCGTCCAGATCTCTCAGCAAGCACATTGGCTGGAAGGAAATCCCACTTGAAATTCAAGTTCCACCCAAATCCTGGAAGAATATTAACAATGTCTCATTCAGTATTCTGTTGCTCAGATTGTTACCGTAACCATGATTACAACAATTCACAACTATAACACAATAGAGGCAATTTATATTTTATGAAAATGAGAAGTACTACTTGGCTACAAAATCAATTGATGCACGATGGACACATTATAGTAAAATTACTTCAGTCAAACGATTTTTACCTAGTTTGAAATGTTGAATTCTTGGTCTAACAGAGGGTACATTGTGATACACTGTAATGTGCACTGTATATCAAACTATTTTGCAGTCTTTCATTCTGATTTTATGATTTTAAACTAAATTTGACTTTTACTTTATACAACGGTTGTAATCCAAGTACACCACTCATAACAAGGGGAAAGTCATTACATTGTCTGCTGCAGTATTTTCACCACTATACTGCCATTCAACTAAAATTTGACTGGGTAGATATCAGTAAAACTTCATCAAATATAGGTAGTCTGATGGTCCAATAGCAATCATCCAGACAGCCAGACTACTTACATATACAAGTTAATACTTTTCTAACCATTTTCATTGCATTACCACAGTAGGGTAGGACTAGAACGGAACATATGCGAACCATGCAAGTAGTCCACCCAATAAATCCCATCCATCCCACCCCAGGGGAGGACATCCATCACACAGTAATCTCGTGCGTGGGAAATTAACGTCCCCTAACCCTAACCCTGCAGGAGACCGGACCTGCATTTATTTGTCCCTATCCGAGAAGACTAGAATAGTTCGTTTTCTTGATGTTATAGAAAGGTAGCATATTCTCAATTATTTTTAATTAAGACCTTGAGTGTTGGTCCGGCCAGGGCTTGAACCCTGGACCTCCTGCACAACAGTCCAGCACTCTATCCATTGAGCTAACCAGAATCAACACTCCTATTAATTTAACAGTTTTGATAAAACCTGCTGATTGGAAATGTACATGTATCATACAGAACAGAACAGGTGTATATTACCTCCTCTCAGATCTGATGAAGACCCCAGGTACTCAAACGTATCCATGTTGATTACATCAATGATTGGACTCACAATCATATTGCGATTCTAAACAAACAAACAAACAAACAACAAAGTCAAAATAAGTAGAATACCTCCATACATGTAAGTTGGGTTTCCTCTTTAAAATGTAAAGAATGTACAACCACTCAGTCAGTACAACACACAGAGTACATTTACATGAACAAATATTGTTATGCAAGAAGGAGATGAAAAAAGGAAAACATCAGATGAGACATGTTATTTTGAAGCATGTACAGTGTACACTGTCTTGTATGTTACAATAAATTGTCCTAGTCTACCAGAAATACAAGGCAGAAACAAGGGGGAATAAGTTAACTAATCAGGATTTAATTTGGTATTCAAGGGGGTTTCCAAAACAAGAAATCTACAGTAATATGTAAAACTATTTAATCCAGTTTAATCATGGTGAGTGCAGAGGAAGATGTAAGGCTACAATGAACTTAATGATCTTAAAAAGTGCATCTTTTACTGAATGTACAAATACATGTGCATGTTTTTTTTACGGGGGAGGGGGGGGTATAAATTGTTTACGAAAAGCATGAAGTTTGATTTTTCTTTTTTATATATATACTGTGATTCTCAATGGAGACTAGATCAATCTAACCAATAACAACATAATCAATGATGGCGTACTAACTACTATTTCCTGTTCATGCAGATAAGCATTCCTGAGTACAATTGAACACTTGTTTTATTAAAATGTTGAAATTCTATTAGGAAGGCAATTTTACATGCATAGAAAACAACAACTAGGTCAGTCATTTGTGAAAGGCATCTACCCAGGTACATGTACAGCACTAGTACCAGTCAAAAGTCTGTAGACAGTCTCCACTCAATGCTTGATCCTAGATACCCAAAACTATCGAGAATCAAGGATCAAGATTTGAGGGTAAAACATCAAGTATCAAGGATAGAGAATCGAGGATCCAGATGCTCTTCAAGGATCTTCATTGGTAAACTATTGTCTAAGAGCTACAAAATTTAAATCACCTCTTTAATCCTCTCAAGAAGTGGTTCCAGCCAGTTCTTATTACATTCACAGTGACTGTCCAAGAAAGTCAGTACCTCCCCTTTTGCTTCATCTGCCCCTCTTACACGAGACCTCATAAGTCCTGTAGAAAAAAATTCAGTCAAAAAGTATTCACATGGAGGCACTGACACCAAACAGTCCAACAGCCCAGCCCATTATACCAAAAAAGAGGAACAGCAACTTATTAATAAACTCAAAAAACATCGCTCCCAAAAATGCAAAGAAAGGATCTCATTAAGACTACCCAACCCCACATCTTTGTTCTTACAGGGCTGAGTATAAACCAAAATGTTCAATGTTTGTTTGTGTGCATAATGGCTGACTCATTTTTGTAATACATTGGGCTGATTAAGCTACCCTGATGAAGTAATTCATGTACCATCTATTAAGTGAATTATGGGTAGCAAAAAGAAATTCAAAGTTCAACTGAGAAACAGCTTTTGGAAACAATGCAAGATTTTATTTATTTCTTCATTTACTTATTTTCTGATTACTATCATGGTGAGTGGATTACCTAGATTTGCTGAAGCATTAAGGAGAATATTTAATAAACTAACTAAAGACGTTTGCATGCTCAAAATTGGCAAATATCAAGGTTGATCACAAACAGACCACTGTTTCTGTGGAATTATTGGAGGAACTCAGTGACAAAGTTAAAATCAACTGACCTTCTCTTTGGTTATTTCGAAGCACTCTCACTTTAGGTAGCTTCTCTAAAAGCTTTCCATCCAAAGCTATAGATACAGAGAATTTAAAATAAAATTATGTGAATATCAGTTTGTCTAATTATCATGAAGATAACGCTTCAAAAACAATGTTCATTATTCCACAAGTACAGCCTATCTAGTGTTTAATGGTTAACCCTTTGATAACTAAGAGTGACCAGCCTCTGATTTTTTTTCAATATCACCCTTGAATCACACAGTCATGAGAACAACAGAAATGATCACCAACTTAAGAAAATATCATATGATAATTATAGTAAACTTGGGCAACTGGCAACTTTGAGAACTTACCATTATCACTAAAATCATCCACAAGAATAATTTCTTTTAACAAGTTAGGAGGACTTCTATTGAGAGAACTGCAAAAAGTAATTATAATAATAATTAATACCAAACTATTATAGATAAAAAAAAATCAGTCAATTTGCCACACCATAACTTATAACAATGCCACCAACATTAATTATTTTAGCATGAACAATTAGCAACAAAATCAATTGATGCACCATGTTTGAAGAGTCCTATTTACATGTAGAACAATAGTCCTGTTTCAACCACAATCTAAATCAATTGAAAGACCCCCCTCCCCCATTCAATCTTGCCTGTACATGTATGTAATTAGTATTTCATGGAATCACAACAAAACAATGTCATAGGGGGAAGAGGGAAATAGGTTACCTCAATGAGGGAAAAAGAGATAAAATAGAAGTTATCTGGGTTGAAAGGATCAAGGTGTCAAAAGTTTTGTTGCCAATTGAAGATGTACAGGAAATAATGCTCAGCAGTGCACATGCTTACGCATAGATGTGCATTTAAAATTGGGTAAGGGTGCAAAAACAAACTTAATTTCCAATATTACTTCTTCTGACAAAAATACTGTACCTTATGACTGTCCTTAATAAGGCAGCTCTGCCTTCATTATGGAAACAAATAATAATACTTGTTGTTGGTAAATCATCAGCTATCCATAATCTTTCTTGGCACCTGAAAACACAGGAAGTACAGTGAATGTCACTACTAAGTTTTCAGGAGATAAGTTCTTGATTGCTCATTATTTCCATGGACATAATTATGAGGCACACCAAGTGGGTCATTTAGAGACATTTACCTCATCTTTGTTTGTGGAAAGGTACAATGCAGATGAAACCAATTTTCAATTGTGATAATAGATGTAAGGACTATATTACAAGGTGCAGGGAGTCAGAGACAGACACTGTACAGGTGTAGTTACATGTAGCTTGCTCCTGGATTGCCAGAAAGTGTGAAACTTTTGATTAAACACAAATTTCTCCCAGTGTTTTATAGGGGAGCACAAAACAACTGCAAAAGAGAACTCAGAAGTCTAACAGAAGTTACTTGGAACTCATTTCCTTGACCCCATGCAGTCTTTAAATCCTTTTGTGTTAGATTAGGCAGTGCCCCATTTCAACCAGGAGTCTCAATGGGTACCAAAAATCTAGGGGGTAGCCTAGGGATGCATGTAGCTTCCCGTCATCACTTAGAGTGGCCACAGTGCAGTGTCTAACTTCTAACAGTTTTATTATACTAATTAGGTAATCACATGATTTCGAGTGCAATTTGGAATAAATAAGCATTAGTAAATTTTTTCAAAGACTAACAAAATTGCATGAGCCCATAGGGCAAATGCAAGTTGTGGTGTTTGAAAAATTTAGAAGCGCTTATTTATTTCAAATTGCATGAGAAAAATGTGATTATGTTTTAACAATATACATAAGAAAAAATATGAGGTAGCTTATCATAATTATGCAGAAGAAAAGTGTGCCCATCACATGCAAAAATAATTTATTCACACCCTGCAAGTGTCATTGACCTTGACATTGACCTTGACAAATCATTCTGACCAATCAGAATGTTTGGTTTGTTACTTTCTTTGCACTGAATTAACCCTCTTCTGCACTGAATTAACTCTCTTCTGCACTGAATTACCTGAAAACTGCATTTATCTCAACCAATCAGAACTCAGTAATTTTCTCATTTATATTATTACCCCTGAAACAGACATTAGGATCCTGAGAATGTAAGTATAGGTAATCGCATGGGGCTGAGTAAAATTAAGGATCAATATCACGCGTTTTCGGAAGTTGCTGAAATTGCGCGAGTCACACAGCGACGAGGGCAATTTCTGCAACTTCCAAAAACACAAGTGATATTAATCCTTAATTTTATGAGGAACCATGTGATTACTAGTTTATAATATAAGGGGCAAAATGTTTTCTTACTGATCTCGTGCAAAATGAGATGCCATTGTTACAAAACAAACAGAAATTTCTTTACCTTGGCAGCCATTGCTAAGTGATTTTCAGCCAATCATTTTCAAGGAATTTTTCCCCGGGGCAATTACAAAAATTGAGAAAAAATGCCCTCTGTCTTGACCAATCACAATTCAGTAATTTTGCCCCTTATATGATAAGATTAGAAATGATCCCAATCTGAATGCAAAGGAAAATTGTGAAGTCCACTCAAACAGTTAGGGGAAAAAATACAGAGTAAGTTATGGAATTATTTCCAATCAACAAGATTTGTCAATATAAATGTATACAAAAGTGTACAACTCCATTATTGATCAAGTGTTACGTCAAGATGGCTGAATTCTGGCTGTTTTTTTTTTTTTTTTTTTTTTTTTTTGCACTTTTGTGGACAGAGACACAGTCCAGGTCCATAAAACAGGAGAAAAAAAAAAAAAAAGAACTAGTTAATAAAGCCAGGAATAATTCTAGAAACTTAAGAAAGCTTAATTACAACAAATCTGTTCTTGCAACATTTTATCTCGCAAGGAGTAGGAACATAACCTTCCCTGAATTCCTGAGCAAGTAGTTCCAAATGTTTGTTGCTGTGAAGGGCCTGTCAAACAACTTCTCTGAGGTGACAGAAGTGGTTTGATGGTCAATTTTCTTTCTCTCCCATCTATTATAATTCATGATCAGGATAAGGAGACTAAACTAAATTGTCAATCGACCTTTTTTTTTTAACCCGAGATTAAAAACTACCTGCTAAATCTGTATCTACATGTATTTGGTCAACATTACGGGTACGTACAAACGGTAACTACGTGTATCTTTTAACCAATTTTATTACTTACTGTGACGCTCTCACATCAGGAACATCTCTGTTAAAGGGAGCTTTGTCGCTAGCTTCTTGATTATAAGCATTACTGGCATAGGCATCTTCACCCTGCTTCACCCTGGTGACTCCTAGATAACTTTCCACGTCGAAATCCTCTAGTCTACGAGTGTCTGTTTCAGCTGGTTTCCCTCTCAACCCAACAAATTCACTCTACGATCAAATTAAAACCACATAGTGAATCACCAAGGTGAAAATCCAAGGACAGGTTTCGTAAAAACCTTTCTTTAATACTATATTATCAAAGGCTTCATTTACAACTGAGACGAAGGGAAAAATCTTGACGCCACATTAAATAATAATTTGTCGAATTCCTTCTCGAATTTCGATTACATTTTATACACTAACTTAGGTAATTTAAAAATATATGATAACAAGAAAAATTCAAGCTTACCTCGTCATCATAAGTGCCTCTATTGTCTACATTCAGTTGAAAGTTTCTGAGTGTGTCTTCATCATCGCTAACCCTAGGATCTCCGTTAGATCGAATGTCATCCCTCGATCCTGTCAACGGTGCTAGAAAATAAATCATACCCCCTAGCCATATTAATACTAAAATAACTAAAATTGTTTTCCGCCGCCTCAGTAATTTCATTTTCTTTGAATAAACAAACAACTATTAGGGCCAAAACATTCTCAATAAGTCTTTAAGAGCTGCCGACGTGGAAGCCATCAAAGGATGACTTGGTAACCACTCAGATTGGAAAAATTTCAAATTTAGCAAGGGAGGGGAGGACCAGTTAATGCTCTACCACGAAGTTTTTTTTGCATCCGTATCTCTACCCTGCGTCTTAGAGAAAATACACTGGACCTAGAAGAAATGATAATTTTAGAGAAAATCATGACTGTCTCAAACGCTGCACGACTCACATCTCCACATAGACAATTTCGGCGGTAAAAACGCAAAAAGCGGTAGAAGATAGTCAAAACAAAGAAAACAGAAACGACTCTCGTGAGTTTGGTGTGCTACAAAAACCGAGTTGGCTTTCTTTCCCGGCTCCCGAAGGAAACAAGTAATTCTGAATTCTTAATGAAGTGATATCTTTTTGCAATAAGCTAAATCCTCTATTAACCAAGCTTGTTCGGTCAAGATGGTTGGATATTAGCCTCATTCTTTTTTCGCATTTTTATGGATCTCAGTCGACTTGGTCTCGGTCCATAAAAATGCAAAAAAAGAACTCGGCCAATATCCAGCCACCTTGACCTCACGCTCGGTTAATAACGCATATTTACACCACTAACATTAAAACAAGATAACTCATGTTGCTTGAAATACCAACACTTAAACAACTTACAGTACAATACGATTACTAATGCCACTTGAAATATGATTCGATTCGCATTTGTTACTTGCGACAACTTTTTCACCTTCGATATTACATATTTTTGCATTATTGCATTCGGCTACAATCCTTGCTATATTGAGGTGGGAATTTGGAAAATCAAGCCAGTGTACACAAATAGTATAATGATTTATGAGAAACTAGAGAAGAGGCAGTCTGCGCCGGCTTTTGTGGGATGGACGTCGACGAAGATATTTCATTAGTCAAATATAATACAATCTTTTCCGCAGAAGAGCTCATATTAAATTTGTGTATATTATTAAACCACGATATGGTACTTGAAAATATTGAAATGGAGCCTCTCTAGAATCGTATGCATTTTGAATCTGTTCTAAAGAGAAATTGCAATGTTCATTGGTTGCAAAATTTCTTGAGTTCTTTTTGGTAATGATCATCTTGTGTAATATTTTAAATAAAAATTGCTTAAGTTTGTTTCGTGGCATTGTTATTTAGGGCCTAAAAAGCTAGTGAAAAGCTGCACAGAAAGAACAAAACAAAGCTCTCGAACTTTCTGATAAATAAATTATTGCTGTCACATAATTTATCTCAAAGTATCGGCACTTCGCATATTCTTCTGACTTTGAATATTCAGTTGTAAAACAAATTGTGCGTGCGATGAAAGCACCAAGCATCAAAGGAAAAACGAGAGCATGCTTTACATACGTTTGTTGTGTGCACTCGCTTCAGCCCCCCCCATTGAATTTGTCAGAGAGACTGGAGAGAGAGAGATAAGATGGATAACGTTTTGCTATAAAATGCATCAGTCATGAGCATTAGTACCTTTATTATCGGTTATAGTTTTTACAGTCTAAATATCCTTTTCTCGATCAGTTAACTTAGGTTTGCCAAGGTTGTTTTTCTTTCATATTTTTCCATTGCGTTTTTAATGTTCGCAATCATATTTTCTCTCTTTGGCCCGGTAAATCGTTTTTCTTCCGTTAAAATTTTGAAAAGCAAACCAGGAATCACTCCGGTTACAAACATAGCAATAGGAATGGCTGAGGCCATGGCCGAAATGTCATATACATTTTCCAAAAAATGCAACTGAGCTTAAAGTTAACATTGTTAAAATAAGGGCCATATTACGTAGCATACGGAAGATTTCAACCATGATTGGCAAAACTTCTTTCTCATAGTTACAAATAAACCAGAACAGACCACTTGGGATTGTGCCCTCCCGGCACTTCTCATCGAAGATCATTTGCTTTACCTCCTGGTACCGTTTTTGTAAGTTATAGTAGCAAAGTTGTATGTTTCCTACGGCTACAATAAGAAATGTCACAAAAGGGCTCACAATTTCAGCATTTAAAACTAAACCAACTATGATGTAAGCGATCATTCTTACAATGAAACTACAAGACAGCCGCTTAGTAACAGACAGCTAAAAGTGCGAGAAATATGATACAAACAAAGAAGAAACAAAGTACGTTGTAAAAGCACGATGTTTTACTGCATTTGAGCTTGAACTTGTCAAATGTAATCATTAATAGGGTAAAATAGGGCGAGTAAACTACGCTATACACAAGTGATATTTTTATAAACGTACAGATAGAAACTACTCCTACGATGATGCCAGTGATCATAAGAAGAAAGGCGCAAGGTAAAATCAACAAAGAATTCACGGCTCTTTTAAACTTTACCTGCGGACTTTTGTCCTCCTCCCTAAGTCTGAACGGAAAATCATAACTCAGTACATTTATTATACACTCAAATTGGTTCTTGCATATTTCTATAAACGTGCAAGGAGGGTTGTGAACTTTTTCTTTGAGTTTCTCCATGTGCATTGCTATGTCCTCGCCGACAGTAGCCCCCTTAAGTAAACTGCACACGGCGCACACATCGGGCAACAAAAAATCCTCTGGACTCGACCTTAAACCTATCAGTAAAGCGACGAGTAAGAGAGCGAAGCCAAAATACATGCCAGAATCTTTTTGTGACCAGAAAAGAAACCTGTAGTAAAGGGCTACTAAATGTGCATGTTTCATTGCCCTCTCCCTTAAAAATTCACTTTTCATCGTATAATTTAATCCTAGGATGATATATAAAACGGCTGGGATCACGCACAAGCAAAAAATAGCCAATCTGACGTTAAACAGAATCAACTCTGACAAACTCTTTGCATATTTGCAAAAGAAATTGCAACAAAAGATTGGACTGGCATCGTCGAAGTAAACTAAATCGCCTTTAACCGTGTTTTGACCTAGTGAGGTGTTTCCTTGGTCACCTGTCGGTACGTTATCATTATCACTTTTGTTAGGAGATTGTTCCTGCTCCTCGCCAGTTGGGCTAGAATTATCTTGATTGTCTTCATGGGGTTGATGCTGTTCTGTTCTGTTCTGGTCTGGTCCGTTCTGTTGTTCTGTAGCTCGCCGTTCAAAACCACCGCAGATCTTCCTTCCCCGGTTTGGTAATGGGGCTAACCCTGCGACTCCTTGGAAAACAGCTGAGGATAAAACATGAATTATCCTCGCCTTGGCCATTTGTGGGTTCGCCAGTATTATCACTTCCTGCCAAATTACGACTTCTTGATGGATCATAGTGACCTTCTTTCTTTTTGCTCTTCTCCTTTATTTCTAAATAGGCATCCTCCAATAAGATGGGGAAGGCCGGACAATATAGCACTCAATATCTAGTCAGACTGTGATAAGAATAACATTGAAAGTCCCCAGCCATCCATTAATCTCAATGTCGTCCTCGCAACTGATTGAAAACTCTTTGACCGATTGTTGCTTACTTTTTTGCAACAGCGGTAAGTAATAACACCTTCAAAAAATGTTTGTATTGAAGGCCTGTCTTCTATCAGAATATCGAGGCAAACAAAATTTGTTTCATCCGATGCTGTTTCATTCAGAATCGCTCTCCTGACCACCTTCAGTCGTTGACACGATGAACGCAAGTTTGCAAGACACCCAGTTGGTTGGTCTTCCAATTCCACGTCAATGCTTCGCACTTGATATGTCAAAAGACCTAAGGCTAAAATATCATTGTCATACGATAAAAAAAGCATGGGTTCGTTAATCGAGCTTGCCCAGACCCATTTCTTTAGAAGAAACAGTTCCTGTGTCTCCAATGGATGATAGCTGTCGTTTCCAATCTTTAATTTCAAGTAGACCATTCTCACGCCTTGCTCGGAAATTTTGAGACGGAATTCAGAAGGATACCTCTCTCCAACCGGAACAAGCTTGCACCGAGTCTCGCTACAATTCTCGGGTTTGGCTTGGCAAGTAGTGAGACAGAATGAAGGGATCCAAAAAGCGGTAATAAACTTGATGACTATGTTTCGCTGTAGAGTTATCCTTGTTTGTAAGCATGCAATTAAGTATATTGGCCGAGTCTCTCTCTCGGATCACTGGGTTTATTATCTATCTTTATGCAAAGTTTATTTTTATTCATTTTTGATATGATCATTGAGATCAAACCAGATAGCTGCAAAATAACAACAATGCCCCTTTTAAAATCTATTCGTCACTTTTTTGCCTTCAAAACAGCTCACTATTGGCAGCTTATCGAGTAGCCTGCAGCGCAGGCGTTTTATCAGGGCGAGTTAACGTTTATTACTCGCGATTCAGTTATTCAACCGGCCATGTTTGATTTGGAGTTAGAGTCGACGTTGGGGAAGGGAGCGGGAAGAGACGAATATTCATCATCCCACCACTAACCCCATCCTTCTTTTTGACTGTCGCTGTAAAACTCAAAGATGGCAACCAAGATACTGAGCGTTCGCCCGCTAGAATTGCAACTGCTTTGCAAGCTACTTGAATGAATGAATGAATGAATGAATAAATGAATGAACTTTAATAATTACTCCAGTACAGGCTTTTTAGCAACTATTTACAATGGTAGACAATTTACAATCACAAATGAACAACTCCAAATAGGGTAATAAAAATGAAAACAATATATGTATATATATATGTGTGTGTGTGAGTGTCCAATGGGTATCATACAAAGACTATTAAAGTGCCCCTCTTAGGGAGTCCTTCAAAGAATGTTTCATGCCCTGATAAGTGACTTTACTGAAAGCAAGTTCACTAGGTCACTACTCAGGGAAGTTAATAGTGAAGCTGCTCGATAGGCAAAGGTTCGTTGACCGTTTGTGGACTTATAAAAAGGGATCTGAAGTTTGTTGCTATGCCGCGTGGCTCGATCATGTATGGTGGTGCGTTTTTGTAACTTATTACATAGGTAGCCGGGTGCTAAATTATTGGCACACTTGTAGGCCATAACTGTACCTCTAAGTTGGGGTGTCTGGTCACTGAAAACCAGTTAAGTTGGTGCAATTGGGGAGTAACATGATCGTGCTTCCTGGAACCGGTGATGATCTTACAA